CCTCTGCTTAGGCAAAGATCAAGATTTGTAAGGTGGGGCCCAATGTCAATGGCACCAGAATCCCCTAGGAACTTGTTAAGATAAGCAGTGACTGGTCCACCCCTGCCTGAGACTAGGAAGAATGAGGCCCATTCTTCCTTGAGTGCTCCATTTTTGGCTTTGGCCAGCTGCTGAGGCTCTGAGCCACTGTCCTAGGAGGGTGGCCCCATCTTCTAGAATCAGAATCTGAGAACTAGTTCTTTTGTAGGTTTCTAGGGCCCACCCTAGAACAGGTAGAACAGGATTGGCCGGTGACGGATCTGTGTCTTTAAACTCTGTTAACTTCCCAAATGACTTGTAAAATGTTACCTTAGCTTGAAATAATTATAGATGCACAGGGATTTGCAAACAAATAAGCAAAAAATGCACAGGGGATTCCAGTGTCTTCTTTATCTGGTTTACCCCATGGTGATCTACACCACACAAGCAGGTAAAACTGCAGCATGTTAGCAAAACCAGCAGGTGAACCCAGTTCATGCACAGAAATCATTCAGAGTTTATCCATGGATACATACACACGTGTGTGTGTGTGTGTGTGCGTGTGCATGTGCGTGTGTGTGTGTGTGTGTGTGTGCGTGTGCATGTGCGTGTGTGTGTGCGTGTGTGTGTGGAAGATACATGCATGTATCTATCTCTCTCTGCCAACATCATAGTTTCAACTGCTACAGTCAAGTTCCTGGCATACCCATTTCTCCTGCTTCATTCTTCAAGACAAAAAAATCAGTTATTCTAAATCTTTTGTCTTCCCAAACAAATTTTAGAGTAAGTTTGTTCATGTTTTTATTAATTCTTGGTAGGATTTTGATTGGAAATACAACATGTCTGCAGGCCAGTTTAAGTAGGATTGTATCTGTATCATGTCTTCCAACCTATGAACATGCTTTGTCTCTGCATTTACTTAGGAGCTCTTAGATTTCTTTCATCAACTCTGTGTGTTTTCTTTCATCAACACACGTGTGTTATTGTTGTGGGTTTTTTTGTTTGTTTGGTTGGTTTGGTTTTTCAAGACAGGGTTTCTCTGTGTGGCTTTGGAGCCTATCCTGACACTCACTCTGGAGACCAGGCTGGCCTCGAACTCACAGAGATCCACCTGCCTCTGCCTCCAGAGTGCTGGGATTAAAGTAAAGGCGTGTGCCACCAACACCCAGGCATGTTATTGTTGTTTTGTTTGTTTTGCAATGATGGGAAATGAATCTAGGAGCTCTAGAGCTAGGCAACTGTTCTATCACTGGGCTCCATCCCTAGTTGGTTCTGTGTGGGGTTTCCCTAAACTTCTAAAATTATACTTATTGTGGTAGTTTGGATGAGAATGAATTTAAAATTATGGATCATAGAACTGTTCACACTGTTACCATGTTTTTCTTTGGTTAATATTTTTGTCGGCATAAAAAGCAATGGGCTCCATGACACATTTTCACATACACTTCCTGTGTCCTCTGCCACTCCCTTTCCTGTCCTCTGTTCCTTCCTGCTGCTCTTCTTTCTCTGTTTATTGCCTGTGGATATGTGTGGGAGTTTGTGCAGGCCATAGGTGGGCATCAGGTCCCCTGGACACTTAACAGTGGATGGGAGCCACGATGTGGGTGCTGGGAACCAAACCCAGGTCCTCTGCAAGTGCAACAAGCTTACGTAATGGCTGAGCCATCACACACTCTATTTTTGAGTCATTAAAATGTTTCTATCGGGCTGGAGATATGGCTCAGAGGTTAAGAGAACTGTCTGCTCTTCCAGAGGTCCTGAGTTCAATTCCCAGCAACCACATGGTGGTTCACAACCATCCGTTATGAGATCTGGTACCCTCTTCTGGTGTGCAGATATACATGGAAGCAGAATGTTGTATACATAATAAATAAATAAAATCTTAAAAAATGTTTCTATCATTTGTTGCATGAATGTGCATACATAATTTATTTTGGTCTATGAGTACAGCTGCCTTACCACTTCCAGTGACATGTAGCAGCCTTCCACTTTGATTTACCTCCAGAATGTAGCTGTCTCCAGATTTTCCCTCCAAGTATGTTGATCACAGTTGATGAGATTTTAGCTCTTGCTTCAGCCATCCAGGGTATTTAAGAAGCATATGAGGGATAGGCTGTTGTGTTTCACTCATTCTGTGGTCTTTGTTATATGAAGTTTCTTCTGTTATCATTCCATTTCCCAGTGGAGAGTCTCCTTTAGCCTTCCTTTGAGGGTAAGATCTACTAGTAACCAATTTTCTTAGTTGTTCTTCTTAAAATTCAGTTTTTAACCTAAGAGATACATTCACCAGATAGATACTGGAAATCTCTGGCCTGTACCTGCTAAAACATGCCAGTTCCTTCTGACCGCCAGGATTTTGACCTGTGCGTGTATACAAGCTTGTGCAATGTACATATGTGCATGGTAGTCAGATGTCAATGCCAGATGTCTTAGTCTATCTCTCTCAACTTTGTATTTTGAGAAGGGTCTTTCTCTCAAATTGGAGTTCACTGTTTGGCAGGATTGGCTGGCCAGCAAGGCCAAAGGGTTCTCCCATCTCCACCTCTCCAATGTTAGGATTCTAGGTGTGTGCTGCCATGCCCAGCTCCCCCACCCACCATGGGTGCTGGAGTTATTTTAAGTTCAGCAGCAAACAGGTTGACTGAGTCATCTCTCCAGTCCCCTAGCCCCCCCCCCCCCACATACACACCTAACTACCTTTCCCTTCCTGCTTTGTGTGTTCTTCGTATGTGTTCTGCCGTCACTATCCATCTCCTTCCCTTAGGACTGGGTCTCTCACAGAACCCAAAGCTAAGCCACCCATCCTCCTGTCTCCACACACTGGGATTGTAGAAACACTCTACCACACCTGGGCTCTGGGGATCTCAACTCAGGTGTTTACACAGTGCTCTTATCTGCCAAGCTATCTTGTGAGTCTCAGTCTTCATGATTTCTCATGAGAACTTGCTGTCCTTTGTATTAATATCCCTACAAGGAGCTATTTTAAGGACTTTTCTTCTTTCTTTTGCCATTTTTCTTCTGGAAGCTTGTTTGTGACGTGTCTTGGTGTGTGTTTCTTTGTGTTTACCTTTTTTGAGGTTCATTTGGCTTCTTGAATTTTTAACTTAGTCTTTTTCAGACTGAGGGATTTTTCGTCTAGCACGCCTTCAGATGAAGGTGATTTACAGCACACTAAGCCTTGCTTTGGGAGGAGGCAAGGGGCTCAACCCCTTCTCAGTGTGGACAGAGTCCTGAGAGTCAACCTCTTCTCAGTGTGGATAGAGTCCTGGAAGTGTCCATTGTTCTTAGCTGGGCATCTATAGCCTGGTTCTCGCTGGTCCTCAGAGGTCTCCATGATGCCTGCCACAGATTTTATAGCAACGTTGGTTAATGGCCACATGGCATTATTTTCAGTGTTCATGGTTAGAAACGGTAAGAAACTAGTTGGTGGCCTCTCTTTCCTTGAACTACATCTGTTGGATTCCTGTGGTCCAAAGACTTCCCTAATGATTTTGGAAAATGTGATCACTTGGTTGAATATTTTCTGAGTGCCTGATGGATGTCAGATAAATCTTTTTTTTTCTTAAAAAGGAAAAGTGTAACTGGCAATGGTGGTACACACCTTGAAGGCACCTCTGTGAGTTCAAGGCCAGCCCCGTCTATAAAGCTACACAGAGAAGCCCTGTCTCGAAAAGCCAAAATAAAATTTTAAAAAAGTGTGTGTGTGTGCATGTGGTATATTGTGTACCTCACTCAAGACTGGGCACGTGTGAGTGCATGTGTGGAGGTCAAAGGCCAACATTGGGTGTCACCTTTAATCACGCTCCACTTCAGTTTTTGAGACAAGGTGGTCTTTGTTTTATGAAGTTTCTTCTGTTATCATTCCATTGAACCTGGGGCTCACAGGCGAACTGGCCAGTGACTCTAGGAGCCCACTGTCTCCATGACATTATCCCAGCCCTGGGAATCTAGAGGCACATGGTCACACTCGTCTTTCTTTACGTGAATGTTGGGAATCTGAACTCAGGTCCTCATCTTGTGTGACAGGTTACTTTGCCATTTGGGCCATCTCACCAGCCCCTTTCTTCCTATTTTCCCCCTCATTTGGTTTATTAAATGGACATCATTTTGGCTTATGAAATCTGAGTTAGACCGCTAGAGCACACTCAGCTGCTTTTAAAATGGGACTTCCCTTTTAAAATCTGACCCCTGCTGCTCTGAACAGGCTACACCAGCCAGCCGGTTATACCCAGGAATGTGTCAGCTCTTACACTGGAAACACGCCTGGCACTGTGGCCCCGTTGTTAGTCAGTTTTGCTGTGCACAGTCTCCAGCCACTCACAGTGCTACCCAAGCAGGCGGAGCCCTGGGTATTGGTGGTTTGGGTCCTCAGTACTTTTATAAAGATAAACCATGTATGCAAGCACTTCCTCTGGCCAGAGTTCACCAGCAGCAGGTGACTGGCTGAGGCTGCCCTCCCCTTCTCAGATGCTGTATCTGCTGAACTCCCTTCACAAAGCCCGGCCTTTCCAAGCAGGGTTAATCATTTCCGTGTTCTCTCTGGCACCTGCTTATTCACTCAGTGTAGAATTAGTATAAATGTTTTCGCTCTAAAATGCCAGCCTCTGGTGTTTGGAGAACTCTGCCATCTCCCCTCCATCATACCATTGGATCTCAGGTGCCCTTGTCAGCTCATTGACATTTATCGGCCTGTCTCTCCTCTCAGCCCATACGCTGCCTGAGTCAGGGACCGTGTCTTATCTAAATTTCCAGTTCTGGGACAAGGTGGCAGTTTGCAAGTGTTGATGGGAAGCGCTTTGGTGACACTTTACCACAAATCTATTGTTGCTCGCCACTGGAGCTGTAATCTCTCATCTCTACTATTTATTCCCACTCATTGTTCACCCTCCATTTTAAACCACTGTGAGTCCTTTTGGGGGAGGGGGTAGGAGAAATGGGTAAAAGTGACATATTTTAAAAGCAAATTATTTGATCCTTCCTAGGTACTATCTTGGCCGTCGGATGTATATTGTCATTTCTGAGCCAGCCATGATCAAGCAGGTGTTGGTTGAGAACTTCACTAACTTTTCCAACAGAATGGTATGTCCTTTCTCTCTAAGAACTTACAGGTATGGAGGGGTAGCTACTGATAGTTAACCTTGGTTGACAGTTTGACACACTTAGGAAGAGGGAACTTCAGCAGAGGAATTGCCTCTATCCGATTGGCCTGTGGGTATTTCTGAGGGGCTATTTTTGATGACTAAGTGATGCCGGATACCAAGCCTACTGTGGGCAGTAACATCTGTAGACAGGTAGCCCTGGGTTATATAAAGAAGGTAGCTGGACATAAGCCTGGAAGCAAGCCAGTAAGAAATGTTCCTCATGGTCCCTGCTTCCGTCACTACCTTGTGGTAGTGTCCCGACTTCCACTGATAATGGAAGCTATAAACTAAAATAAACCCTCTCCAAATTCTTTTGGTCGTGGTGTTGATCACAACAACAGGGTGTTGGTTATTTTGTTGTGGCTGCTGTGATAAAATACCATGTTCAAAAGCAACTTATAGAGGAAAGCGTGTATTTGAAGCTTACAGTTCCAGAGGGATTAGAGTTCATGGCAGTGGAGAAGGCACAGCTGCAAGTGTCAGGTGGTGGCCAGAGAAGGAAGTTGAGAGCTGGCCTCTTCAAATGTAAGCGTGAAGCAGAAGAATGCAGGAAGTGAGGAGAGACTATAGTCACTCAAAGCCCTCCTCCCGGTGATGTACTTCCTCTAACAAGAACTTCCAAAGGTTCCACAACCTTTCCAAACTGCACCAGTGACTGGGACCAAGTGTTCACATATCCAAAGCACCACAAACAAGAAGCAAATTATGCAGGTTTCTATGGGGCTGGGTCTGCTCCCCTCAAAACTTAGCTCCCTGGTGAGCATGGATTTTTGAGAGATGCCCAGAACTGCTGCACAGTACCTAAGAAACACTCCAAGGAAGCTAGAGCACAGAGAAATTGGAGCTAGTAGAAATGCTAAAGCCAGGAGAGTTGCTAAAGCTGTGTTCAAAGCTAGATGATCCACAGGGCACTGGCCACATGACTGAGAAATACCAAGCAGGGTTAAGAAATGCCAGCGGGAGAGCAAACTTTGAGGGGTCTGTGCTTCCATCTTTCTCTGGAGCTATGAAAGCAGAGAGAGAGAGAGAGAGAGAGAGAGAGAGAGAGAGAGAGAGAGCGAGAGAGAGAGAGAGGGAGAAAAACAGAGAGAAAGAGAGAGAGAGAGAATAAACAACATCAGTAGGGAGATCAGCCCCTGAGTATGAACAGCAGGGGTCTACAGTGGACCACAGGCCAGTTCAAGTCCCCAGCCCACTTCTCGCTTTTTACCTTTAATGAAAAAATTCCAAATAGAAGACATGGCGGTGTTCAGTGCTGCCCATATTTTCACAAGGTGAGGAGATAGAAATTATAATGAAGAAGGGTAGTGACCTTCATGTTGGTTCTTAGAAAGAGTCTCAAGTGAATTAATAAACAGATAGTTGTGAGAATTTGGACAACCATAGTATCAACCATTTTTTAGTGGGGCCAAATAAAAAAAGTGGTGTGTGTGTGTGTGTGTGTGTGTGTGTGTGTGTGTGTGTGTGTGAGCATGTATGTATGCACATGTTTAAGTGTATGCATGTGAGTGCATGCAGGCTCCAGTATAGGTGTAGAGGTCAGAGGACAGCCCCAGGCGTTGGTCTATTCATGCCTTCTTCCTTGTTTAAGATGGTCTCCTGTCATTTGCCGCTATCTCCCACAACCTAGCTGGCTGGTGAACATTTATGACTCCTCCGGCCTTCCCCTCCCTAAGATTGAAGGCACATGCTGCTGAATCTGACTTTATAGGGTCTGTGGATCCAAACACAAGTCCTCACATGTGGCAGGCGTTTTAGCCTCTGAGCCACCCGACCCCCCCAGTCCCAAACTTCTCTTGCCATTCTTATAAAGATGGTAAGCAATGCATTCATCCTTTTGTTGACTATTTGGCAACCCTGTCTGCCATAGGCCAGACACTCCCAGGCTACTAATGGCACAGGGGGAGAAGACAGCATAGAGTGTGTCCTCAGGACTTGTGAAGATAGAGGACCAGTGGAAACATTTGCAGAACACCTGGGGATGCTCCCGCAGAGGGAAGTGCAAGATTATACACGGTTCACGTGGGAAAACTCACTTAAGACTGCATTGTATGACGCTGGGGACTAAGACGACAGCACCCTCCCGCATTGCATAACAGAGTGGATATTTGGTCATTATAGAATATGTGAGGGGGGGGAGATGACTCAGCAGTTAAAAGCACTGGCTGCTCTCCCAGAGGTCCTGAGTTCAATTCACATGGTGGCTCACATGTGTAATGAGATCTGGTGCCCTCTTCTGGTCTACAGGCATACATGGAGACAGAACCCTGTATACATAAATAACTAAATCTTAAAAAGAAAGAAAGAAAAGGAAAGGGGAAAAAAAAGCACTTGCTACTCTTACAGAGGACCTGGGTTTGAGTTTCAGCACCCACATGACAGCTCACAATTTCCTATAATTCCAGCTCTCGGGGCTCTAATGCTGACCTCTGACCTCTACCAGCACGGTACCCATGTGGCACACAGACATACGTGCAGGCAAACACTCATACACACAAAATAAAAAAGAATATATGAGATTGATACAGTGAGTCTGTCCATTTCACAGACAAGGAAACTGAGGCCCATAGAGGTTACATGGCTGGCCTGTTCACAGGCTAACTTGGGGACAGGCAGAGGTATGAAGTTCTCCTCCCATTCAAGTCCAGCACTCTCTTTACTTCACTACCACAACAGGTGCCTCGGGTGACATTTAACAGAGTAATTGGCCACTGACCATATCGTCCCATATGTGTTCATCTTCTAGCCCTAGTTCCATACCCCACATGCCACTAGAAGGAGGTGGCCATTTGACACCCTGCCCCGGAGTCCTTGGAGTGGCTAAAGGAATCACAAAGCGTAGCTGCTTCCTGATGCCTTGTATTATCTTTCTGTCACCCAAAGACCCAGGCAGCCTGTACTCTGCTGGGGCCTGAGACACTAAGGCTGATGGTGCAGCCAGGCTTGTGAGTTAAGAGATGTGTGTCAAAGAGCGTAGACAACCAAGTCACATCCAAGCAGGCAGTGAGGGAGCTCCGGGTTCCTGCCATGCTTCCTGAGCCCACCTAAGCCCCTGAAGGTGACATGGACATCAGAGTCTGAGTCTCTATGTGACTTCCCACCACACCTGAGACGGTCCTGGGGCAGGAGACCCTGAGAGCTGGCCCTAAAGGAAGCTGCACTCTGATGGGTATGCAAGGTGCAAACAGACCCAACGCATATGATCTACCAGGAGCCTCTAGATAAAGCCGCCCTTGGCCTCCGTCACCTTCTTCCCCCCCACACACACACACACTATTTTTTTCTGCTCTTCTTAATTCCCTCCTCCCAAACTAGGGCCTGGCCCTAACTGCCGGCTATGGCTCATAATTTCTTTCCTCTTCCATAAGAGGATGGAACATTCAGCTCCTGGGGTCTTCCCACAAGATGGAAGAGCCTCCTCCATAACTCAGAGACAATCCCCATGTTCCAGCCTGACCTCTGACTGCTCTCCACACATGTCCGTCCCTGCTGCCAGGTCTTTGCAAATGCCTACAATTCCTAAAATAAGAGGAGCTGTAACAACAGGGCTTGTGCTTATTAGCAATGTGAGCTTGAGGAAATCTAACTTCTTAAAGCCTTCTGCTCCTCCTCTGGAAACTGGGGGTATATGAGCTACCTTCTGAGGCTGTTGTTAAGTTAGACAGGGTCACTCATAGAAGCCATGGCCCCTGCGTGGAGCTCGGCAGGTTTGAGAATTGCTCAGCATCCACTGGCTGCTTTCAGCCCTTCACCTGTTCTGTACCTTGGCAAAACCTGGCTGTTCTTCAAGGCTCTCCTCCAGGAAGCCTCCCCTGCCTCTTCCCCACTTCCCAATCTCTTCACTCTCAAATCTCACTCACCTGCAGCACTTATCTGTGTCACTGACCCCACTGGGACTTGTGGTTTTTGTCCCAACTTAGAGATTTACTTTTCAAGCCTAGGGACCGTATTTTCTACATCCTCTTTATATTTCATGGTCCAAGCACACAGTGACTGTTACGGTGGGGGTGCGAAATGTCTCCCCATGTGTTCACTTGTTTGAACTCTTGCTCCCTGGCTGGTGCTCCTGTTTTGGAAGACTGCAGAATTTTCAGAAGAATGGGGCCTAGATGACCGAAGTGGGTCCCTGGAGAGTAGGTCTCAGCCACTATAAGGCTGTCTGTTTCTCTCAGCTTCTGGTCTACCAAGATATAAACAGGCAGCTTCATGCTCCTGCTGCAGTTATCAGTGAGCTGCTATCACCACTGTGATGTACCGTATGCTTAACGTGAGGAAGAATAAATCCATCCTTTATAAGTTACCTTACGTCAGGTATTTGGCCGTGACAATGAGGAAGGTAAATAATACAACGGCTCTTTTGAATCCAAATAGAATATCCAAATGTCCATAAGCTTGACCTTCTCCCCGGTATGCAGGGTGCTTGAACCTGGAGATCCCATGTCTACTTCCCAACAAGGTCATTCACAAACAGCAAAGAAGACACACCATAGATTAGATCTCTAGGAAACCCTAGAGATAGTTTTCCATCTGGGATGACTGTGCTTGTCTTCAGCTTTGTTTATGGTCTTTAAGCCAATTCCATATTCATGATAAAACAACCCTGGTGACTCAATTTTTTTTTTTAAACAGTCATTAGAGTGGGATTTCTCACAGGTTTTTGAAAGTCAAATTAAACTGGTTCTGCGGTTCCCTCTTTTCCATATGCTTGTTTATCTGCTCTAAGAACTCAAGGAGATTAGTGAGGCGTGATTTCCCTTCACCAACACCATGCCAGCCTTCCCTTTAATAAGCCGTATTTACTTAAGTGTTCAGCTTTATTATACATTCACTCGGTAAACATTAAACGCTTACTCTATGCAAGCGTCTACCAAGAGGTCCCTTGTGATACAGAAACACTCCGGCATATTAGTTTGATGCATTAAATGAAAAGGAACTTAA